CCGTCGCCGTCCACGTCGATCGCGATGACAGACTGGGCGCCGTCCGCGAGCGTCGTGATGATGCGTTCGGAGAAGGACTGGGAGCCGTCGTTCTCGTACCAGGCGACCGTGTCGTCGGCGTAGGACGCCGACAGCGCGTCGACGTCGCCGTCGCCGTCGACGTCGATCGCGAAGACAGAGTGGGCGTAGTCCGCCGAGCCGGTGATGACGCGCTCCGCGAAGGACTGCGACGCATCGTTCTCGTACCACGCGACCGTTTTGTCAAAAATGGACGCCGAGAGCGCGTCCACGTCGCCGTCGTCGTCGACGTCGATCGCGAAGACGCAGACGGCACCGTCCGCGAGCGTCGTGATGATCCGCTCGGAGAACGCGACGCTCGTGCAGAACGTCGTCGCTTTGGGCGTCGGGGCCGCGCTCGCCTCGTCGTAGGAGTAGGAGTAGCTGCCGGCCGTCGGCGCGGGCGTCGGGCCGACGGCGTCGTCGTAGGAGTAGGAGTAGCTGCCGGCCGTCGGCGCGGGCGTCGCGCCGCCGGCGTCGTCGTAGGAGTAGGAGTAGCTGCCGGCCGTCGGCGCGGGCGTCGGGCCGACGGCGTCGTCGTAGGAGTAGGAGTAGCTGCCGGCCGTCGGCGCGGGCGTCGCGCCGCCGGCGTCGTCGTAGGAGTAGGAGTAGCTGCCGGCCGTCGGCGCGGGCGTCGCGCCGCCGGCGTCGTCGTAGGAGTAGGAGTAGCTGCCGGCCGTCGGCGCGGGCGTCGGCGGGACCGTGACGGCGTCGTAGAGGACCTGGACCGCCGCCGCGTCGAGCGCGCTCGAGTAGACGTAGACCTCGTCGATGGCGCCGGAAAAGTATTCGATCGCGTAGTCGACGCTATACCAATGTCCGAGGCGGAGGTTGTTGAAGGTTCCCGTGTTCGCCGCGACGGTCCCCGTGTCGGCCTGCGAGCCGTCGAAGTAGAGCGTCCAATCGGATCCGTCGTAAGTCAGGCAGTAGTGGTGCCAATCGCCGTCGTCGGAGCCCGACAGTTCCACGTCGGGGTAGTAGTTCCAGAATTGGACCACGAACACATCGCTCGCCGTGGAGCTCGTCTGCACGCCAAACGCGAGGTAGCTGTCCTCGGACCCGTATCCGAACAGGAAGTGGCCGCCGCTGAGGTCGTCGACTTTCGCCCACACGCACACGGTGCGCGCGGCGTCTCCGAGGATGTCCGCCGTCACCGCCGCCGGGAAATCGACGTAGTCGTCCGTCCCGTCGAAGGACAGCGCGCCGCTCCCGTCGCGGCCCGTCGTCGCCGTCGCGCCGCTGATCGTCCCGTCGAGGCTGTCGTCGTTGTCCTCGGCGGCCGTGCCGTCGTCGAAGGAGTAGTGCGCGACGAGCGTCGGGTACGACACGTGCGTCGGCCGCGGCGTCGGCGTCGGCGCGTGCGTGGCGCAGTCGTTCTCGTACCAGGCGACGGTGTCGTCCTCGTAGGACGCGGAGAGCGCGTCGACGTCGCCGTCGCCGTCGACGTCGAGCGCGTGGACGGACTGGGCGCCGTCCGCGAGCGTCGTGACGACGCGCTCCGCGAAGGACTGGGACCCGTCGTTCTCGTACCAGGCGACCGTGTCGTCCTCGTAGGACGCCGAGAGCGCGTCGACGTCGCCGTCGCCGTCGACGTCGACGGCGAAGACGTCGAAGGCGCCGTCCGCGAGCGTCGTGATGACGCGCTCCGCGAAGGACTGGGAGCTGTTGCTCGCGTGCCACGCGACCGTGTCGTCGTCCTTGGACGCCGACAGCACGTCGACGTCGCCGTCGTTGTCGACGTCGAGCGCGAAGACGGAGACGGCGCCGTCCGCCAGCGTCGTGATGATGCGCTCCGCGAAGGACC